GCGTTGGAGCGCTGTGGTGACTTCCGACTGTAAGTGCGCCATAGTGTCGCGCGCACCCGACAAGAAGGTTTCTAATTTTCTCGCCACTCGCCGCCGACTCCGACTGTCACCCTCCGTCAATGCCGCCGCCCGAAGCTCGAACTCCCTGAGTGTGATCCTCTCTTGAGCTGCCACCTCCCAATGGGCGTATCCTTTTAGACAACGAGTCACCTGTGTCGCCAACTCTCCTCGTGCCCTGCAGCTGCTCTCCACCTCTGCCAGCTGCATTTCTGCTTCCGCACGTTGTGCCCTCAAATCCGAGCACTCGGATTGCAAGTTGCGCAACAACTCCTTTTCCTCCTTGCGGGCTCTTTGACTTTCTTCTAAGGCGCGCGTCTGGCGCGTAAGCTCGGCTGCTAGGACTTGGTTTTGTCTCCGCTCCTCCTGCAATTCCGACTCGATCTTTGCCCGTATTAGCTCGGCATCCGCCTGACTTTTCGTCGCCGCCTCCTCCCTCTGCTGCTGCAAGGCTTGGTATAGCTTCTATGTGACCGCCAGGTGTTGTCGGATGGCGGTGTTCCTATCCACATATACTCCGCACCTAGAGGCCCACTTTGCCACCTTGCTCCTCGTCCTGCGCCTGATAGTCTCCACGTAAGACTGCGGTTTTAAAGCACTTGCGTATTTGGATGTCTTGCGATCCAGATATCGCAGGAGTGGAACTATCTGTTCGCACAGCACCCCTGTTGGCGTTTTCTGCACCGAATCCGCTTCCTGCTCTTCCGAGCTCGTCTCATCCTCAGTCTCGAGGATTTCAGTCGCCACCGAATCCCTTGGCGACTCCCTGGAACTGTGGCGCGCAGCAGCTTCCGCTGCGACTGTTGCTCCACTGCCTGCTAAAATATCCAGGGCAGTGGGAGATCCCACTGCTTGAGCCCCTGTTCCGGCTCGATCTTCGGTTTCTGAAGGGGTCGACGCCGCAGTGACTCTTGTCACTCTTGCACCGCCCGCTTCTGCTGCCTGTCCTTCTGGCGCAATCTGCGCGGAAGGTGTCCTCGCTGAAGGTGCGTCCGCCGAAGGCGTCCGCACACTGGTCGTTGGCCCCATCCGTCTCGCAGTCGGCGAATCCGGTCGACTCTCTGTTGTCCGACTCGCAGTCGGCCGACCAGCAGTTGTCCGACTGGGAGTCGGATACACCCTGCGCGTCTTGACTCCACTTGGCCTGCTTGCTGGTGGCGTTTTCCCAGAAGTGCCTTCCACCGAAGACGACCCTCTGAGGGTTGTTGGCTCGTCAGCCAAACTCTCTTCTGCTTCCGGCCTGCTGTCCGGTTCAACGCGCCGTTCAGTTGGCCTTCCTTCCGCTTGTCGGCCTTCAGTCATCCGACTCGCAGTCGGCCGACTGTCAGTCCGTCCATCTCCTCCCGAAGGCCGTGGTGCCTTCTGTGCAGAGGTATCTGCCGTCTTCCCTAGAATCTGAGCGATTATCTCTTCCTGTGTGAGATTCCGCCGGGTCGGAGTTCGCCCGATCTCCTCAGTACCAGTTGGCATTTTGCGTGCCCTCTGTTTTGGTCGACTGTGAGGCTCGGGGGTGGGCCGACCACGAGTCGGCGCAGCTGGCACTTCCGGCTACCTGTCCTCAGGTCTCTCATCCCACTTCCGCTTTCGCGGAATGAGCTCACTTCGACGTTCTTCTACTGCTCTTGCTGGAGCCGGAGCCGGAGGCGTACTGGCAGGTTCCTCGTCCGGATCCGTGTCTACTTCGGCCTCCCTCGAATATCTACCTGGATAGTTCCGGGTCAGCTGCGGAAACTGTGTTTTCTCAGCATTTGTCAAACATCCCATCGCCCGATAAAACACGATCAAGTAAGGCGAGAGATGATTGAGGGTTCCTCCTTTCTCTTCTTGCGCATGTTGGCGCGTCACCTTCCACAGGAGCCGTGCCCAATGCACTGGAGCTCCTGACAACACTAGCTCCACAAATTCTACCTACCAACCATGCATGTAAGCGGTCTTGGTCGGTTGCAATATCTGCAGCAATGCAGTCACGACATTTCTCCGCAATCGATCTTTGTAATCCCGTGTCCGGAAACCGTTCTTGGGATGCCTGGCAACTTTGAAGAGCTCATTGTAAGAGACTTCTTCCTCCTGGGACACCTTCACGCTATCGGCCTCGAAGAGGAGGTCCCCTTCCTCGCCGGCACACCTGCCCAACACCTGCGCCCAGTTGCAAATGTCCCATCTCTCTCGGTGTGGGCGGAATCCGCGAGAGTGCTTGTGTCTCTCCTGCAGATACTCGCGCACCATCTCCGGACATGTCCAGTTCCACCCCCATAGGAGAAAATCGAGCTTCAGCCTCAGCAGCACATCTTGAAATGCGCGTAGACCGATCTGCGGCACCCTGAGGGGAGACACTCTCAGCTAGGGAACCTTCGACATTGTGTTGCCTGCACACACAAACGTTCTCCCTTTCGCTCGCTCTCTCACAATCGCCACTGCGCGTCGGCCACTCAAGCACTGACTGCTCACTCTCTCTGCGCTCGTTCAAGATCGCTACTCGCAATTCTCTCCAAGGTCTGCCAAGATCCTTGCGCAACTCGTCTCCGCACTCTCTACTCCCACTGCAGGTCGCTCCGCTCTTGCGCGTAATCTTGGAAACTGGAAATCGCAAAATCAAGAATGAGAGAATGAGCTTGGAGCGCAGTCTTTTCTTCTCCGATTTCAAGAACGTCCAACGTTCTTACTGGTTACAACGTACGTAGCCGGCTATACGGCCTAACGGTTCGCCCTTTGCATGCGCGAATTCACGTCTCCGCATTACGCGCATTCGCATGCGTAAATATTGAATTCTCCCGCCGCCGCCACCTTCCGGACTCGAGTCCGCTGCAAGGTATACGCCGGCCCTGTTGTCTTTTCCTAACCCGTCCCTCACCGGAGGCGTGTCGCCGCTGGTGCGTTCATTATCCGTCGGCGCCTTGCTGTAGGCGCACATCTAGTCGGAGCGAATTACGCCGGCGCGCAATCGTACCGCTTATTTTGTCCTTTATGCCTCGTCCATTGCTGCCGACGCATATCCGCCAGCGCAACTCATGCCAGCGCATCCGGCCGTCAGCGCCACGTCGGAGGCGCACATCCGACCGGCGCTTTCCTTCCATGAACAGCCGCCAAAGGCGCTTCCGACTCTGAGTTGGTTTCCTCCTATGAGCGCGTGATTCCGCCGAAGGCGCATCGCCGAGGGCGTACGGGAATCCTTTCCGTCTGTGAACCCTAGCGCGAACGGCGCATGTCCGGCTACGAGTTTTCCGACGCTCATAACTTCTCCATCCCTGATCCATCTCCGACGCTCTTGGGCTCGTTAGAACGAGCGCCCCAAGCTCTTTCTAATGCGACTTCAACCAACTGGATCTACCGTGTATCCCGATCGTTATGAAGGTATTCTCTTTCCGCGCTAGCGGCGCATCGCCGAAGGCGCACTCGTGGTCGGACGCCTTCAGAGGTCCGGGCCCTTCTCCTGACGTCTTTAGCAAAACCTCCTCCTGAGGTGTCTGCGCCGGAAGCGTAGCTTCCTTATACGCTGGAGGCGCGTGAGTAGAGACACCTCAGAAAAGGAGCTTTTGCCGAAGGCGCCGAAGACATTGACATTGGTACATCCGACTACGTGAGTCTTCGTGTCCTCGTGACGATCTCATCAATCCACTCTATTTAACGTACCCTTTTCTAACTACAAACACTGCTTTGGTACTAGTTTTCTAAAATTGTTTAAATTCTGCAAAAAAAACAAAAAGTGTGTTACCACAAGAAGCTCAAATATCGCATCAATCGCATATACTCGTCCATGCACGCCGTTACTTTCGCTTGTGATCTATTCTATAATGACCTGCAAGTTGCTCTCGGTAACGAAATGTGGGAATGCGGTCAGGGCGGTTTTAATCAGCAGTGCTGCAAGGGTTTCAAGCTCATCTGCAATGGCGACCGTTTGCCAAACACACGCACGGCCAAGAGCGAACTCATTGCTTACCTGAACCGCGAGAAGACGAACGATGATTGCTTCAACAACAGCAAGAAAAAATTTACCACAAGAGATATGTCATGGAGCCGACTACTACATGACTCTTGCCAAGGTGTTGAAGCCAGCGTTTGGTTGCCCATCCGACAATGCGGCTGGGGAGCGAAACCATAAGCAGGCGAAGGGCGTCCACACCAAGGCTCGTTCCACATTGGATTCCACTAAGGTCAAGAAGCGCACGTTCATTGCTGCCAATTATTCGCAGCGGTGATTATACCAATTGTACCCGATTGATCGCGTACACGGAAGGTTTCGCGAACTTGCTCGCCACCTTTGCTACCGCCTCTAGAGATGATGACTCGATAAACAACACTGACAGCGCCGGCACGAACGAAACTGAAGACGTTGCTGCAGCAATCAAGAGCTTGGAGGAGTTCAACGCCGACATGGATGGGGCTACTGCGAAAAGTGACCTCTAGTTCCTCCATATCGAGTCACCCGATGACATTCAGGAAGGCTATCTCTTTGCCACCAGCGACGAGGACAGTGATGACGAATAATGTGGCACCAGGGTCGGCCCAACTCCTCTATGCAGTATGGATACACTCACAAAAAATCCACTTATATAAGGCTTTAATTAGATTGATAGATAACGAAGGCTTATTTAAGCCTTACGTAAGTTTAGATAAGTTGGTCATACCATAATTATATTTAATATAATATTAAGGGCAACTGTAGATGATGGTTTCCACCGTAGACGCTACATCTGATAGTACCAAATCGTTGGGAACATCAGAACATTATGTTTCAGTATTGAACGTCGAAATCAGGTTTTTGTCAGTAGTTGTAGGCATGTTTTGCAGAATCTCAGATGCTCAAATTGACCAATATATGTCAGGGTGTTGTTTTTGCCCTCACCATTGTTGAAATTTATCTGTAAATATTTGAAGCTGGATCATATGCCTGAACGGAATTCATACAGCGATGAGAAAGAGATCGGTATGGAGGAAAAGGTAATTCGGGAGAAACGTTTACTATCATATTATCCATGATATGCTCAGATGCGAATTCTAATGTCTGCGCAGATTGATACAGCTAACCGTTAGTGATTTCAGTGTTGCCAAGCGCACAAATCCTGTGTTCAATATGTACACTACAACCTTTTTTTTTCAGTGTTTGCATCGAGCTTTACAGTGCATGTTCCGCAGAAATCGTAACTGCAATGTGTACATTACAAGCGTTTGTTTTAATGTGTGTGCCCTGCTAATGTTTTCTTTTCAGATTTTACTTATAGTATATACTATAATGAATATATACTAATCGTCCACCTTCAGTTCCTTGGTAGTTTAGTCTTCTTAAAACCTTAGCGACTCTCAAATGGGAGAGAATTGGGTTTGGTTTGTTTCAGCTCTTAGTTACCTTTTTAGTGAACTTTTCTCACTTCTATAAACCGTTTACAAACAAATTCTCATCACCCGAAACCAAATCCGCGGAGAACTAAATGCGTCAGTGGCTTCTTAGCCGATTTCTCACTTCGGACCACTGCCGGAGTTCATCTCGTAATGTCGAATTTTTCGACTACCTTTTGGTCTTTCTCTCACCAAACCCAAACAGACACAACTGAATCACGCTATGACTACCGTTCCCGCCATGCCATTGCAGCTCGGATTCAGGACGGGGCATGTTTGGATCATGAAGAAAGGCTGGACCTGATCGTGTCAGTTGTTACCCGATAAGATTTTAAAAGCTTCCTTGGCGCTCTGGATGGCTTCCCCGTTTTTCCTATAATTCCCACTGTCGATGCACTCTCGAAGTTTGTCCATCATGCTCTGCTTCACAGCCTGCTGCCGATTCGAATTATTCCCCTCGAACAGAGATTTGGTGAGATGAGCGACTTTCTCCAGAATAGCCTCGGCCATGGGGTCAAGGCCTTCATTGGATTTGAGAACATCCATGAGGCTCGAGAAGATCACGCCGTTGTCAAACTCGCTGATCATACCCTTAATGTTCGGGTTTTCGAAGGAAAGACCCAACAGAGCAGCCATCGCTTGGACCTGCAGCTTGGTATCTTCACTAGCCATCAGTTTTATCAGCAGAGGAATCGCTTTCGCGTCTGCGATCCGCTTTTGGTGCTCGGGATTGTTGAGAGCCAGGATTCGCAAAGCCCTGGCCGCATCGAGTCGAACGTCATCGCTTCGAATATCCTCCTGCAAGTGGTCATTCCGATTTTCTCAGCATTTCAACAAGTAGTCGGCGTTTCTAAACCACACAAAAGTCCAAATCTTCAAAGCTTCCGAAACCAAATCACCGGCCCATGTTCCATCAAGTCCACAGCCGGAAAGTGACATCGAGCTGAACACATGTTTGTATAGTACAGTCGGTGATTCCAGTCTTCTGATGTGGAGTTCGTTCTGTCAGTATGAGAAAACCAACTTCAGAGTGGAAATGCAATTCAGTCTCGAGAAATCAAAACGCTTACTTACTTCGAGGTGAGGTTTTAGAGGAGTGACGGTCGATCTATTGTCTTCCTCGCGGGGGATCTGCGCACGTTGAATCGCCCGAGTCAGTGAACGTCGAATGGTGATGGCGCCCGCATTCACTCACCCATTCTTCCGAGGTCCACGAAACTCAGATCAGAGTGTAAATTGCATCGAGCTGTTGCGGGGGAAATCTGTACAAAACTCTGAAGCAATCATAAGTCCTCGCCCACAGAAATCAAAACAGATTGTAATTTGCATCGAGCTGTATGCGAGGAAATCTGTACAATACTGTGATACAATCATTAGTCGTCGCCCGCCATCGGCCCAAAACTCTGAAACAAAGACCGGCGAATAAATCAGGACGCAACCAGATCGAGGGGAGACCTGGCCGTTAATGTCATGGAGGTCGGAGTCGGGAAGGGCGTCTTTAAGCAGATCCACCAGTGGAGGGATGCCTCCGGCCTTGACGATTGCGGCTTTGACGTCCTGGTTGTTGTAAGCCAGTCTGCACAAGGCCTTGGCGGCCAAGACGATGATCAATTTCGCCGTCGTCGACTTGAGCGCCGTGACCAGCGCCTGAATGCACTCCTCGATGTGAGGGTCGCTCCCTTTGACCTCCCGGTCATCCGAGTAAGCGATCTCGGCGAGAACTGCCGCCCCGCCGGCTTTGATCGGAGACGACACGCCGTGCTTGATCAAGGCGGTGCAGAGCTGCAAGTCTGGGACTCCTCCCTGCTCGTCCTTGTACGACATGAGCGCCTCTCGAGCGCGCTTCTCTTTCTCGACCAGGTGGCTCAATAAGCGGACGGCGAGCTCTTGACAAAGCGTGGATTTGCGGATGTGGGCGTGCCGAATGAGGCACGACATGAAGCTGCGGCCGACCTCGTTGCTGTCGAGAATGTTGCTGTCGAGAATGAGCTCAATGACGGTGGGGGAATTTGGCGATGTGCACTCATCACCAGATATTGAGGCATTGAGCAGGGCCCCGAGGGCGACCTCGACGTGCTCGACGGCCTCGGAACCGGCGAGGCGCTTCAGCGGCTCCACGGTCTCAATCAGAAAGTTCAGCGGCAGCACGGAGGGCTGCATAGCCAGCACGGCGATGGCGGTCGCCGCCAGGCCGCGGCAGGACTCGGTTCTCCCGTCGCGCACGACGCGCACCAGGAGCGCAAAATCGTCGCCTTTGTGGAGCTTTTCCTGCTTGGCCAGGCTGATCAGAGCCCGCAGCGCCATCTCCTGCGACACCCACAGCAGGCGCGACGTGTCGAGATGGACGTGGTCGCCTTTGTCACACTCCTCGACGATTTTGAAGAGCTCCTCCTTGCTCTTGAACCAGTGGCCTGGCAGGCCGCAGTCGGAGTCTTGCGCGCTGGCCACCACGGCCGTCAGATGCCCATGCCGGGCCATGTGAACCCACCAGGTCAGGCACATGAGCCGATCCTTCTCTTCCCGTTTCCTGAGAAATTTAGAGAAACGTCGGAACCAGCTGCTGCTGTCCCGGACTCGGGCGCTGATGCCCATCCCCATGGCGGCCAGCACGGTGCGCAGGCTCGAGGCCCAGTGCAAGCACACGATGATCATGCTGATGATGAGCATATCCATCAGATTGGTCTTGCCATCGGTACAATCCGCGCCTTCGTTGTAGCAATCACTATTCGCGTACCAGAATTTCAAGGTGTATTTGATGTAAAACCCGTAGAGAACCGTTTCGACGAGAGTGGCAATTAGCACGGAAATGAAGAACACCACGAGGGAGGCGGAAGCGGTGTCGCGGTTATTGTTGTGGAGCGCGACGATGGCGCAAGGGACACCGCGGAAGTATAGGGAGTGCGCCCAGCTGCGCCCGTACTTGAGGATGGCCTCTAGGGTGAAGATCCCCCAGCTCAGGCCGCACACGTCCCGTGACATGAGCTGCCCGAACGAGCCGAGCATCACTCCGATATGCGTCAGCAACAGCCAGCCCATGCTCTGCTGCACATGCTCCCACCTCACCAGAATGTTGGCCGCGCGCTTGATCTCCTTCGACGGCACCACCGCGCCCTGCGCTTGCTCCCAAGCCGCATTCCACGCGCTGGGCTGCAGGCGGAGATCCTTCAACTCCTCCTTGATCTCTTGATTCACCTTGATCTCATGATCCATCGCGCGGTCGATCTCCTCGCCCCTGCTTCCCGCCCGGCTCACCCACCCAGTCTCATCCTTCGCCTCTCCCCGAGCTCCGCACCGAGGATGCGCCGGCGCATTCCCCCCGGCCTAAAATCCTCGACATTTCCGCGGGGTGACGGGACCAGGTGACAGACGAGCATTCATTCTCCGGGATTCCACGGGGCGAGGAGGAGGAGGAGAAGAAGAAGAAGGCGACACCATCCACCGATCGTCCGCCGCCGCCTCCACTCGAGCTCTGGTCGATCATCCGCCGACCTCGCAGCGCAACCGAGCTTCGGGAGAATCTGGGACTTGCAGAGGTGCGACTATATGAGTCCCACGGTCTCTTTTATTCCTGGGGCCCCCGCAGTCCGAGGCCACTGGTTGGCGGCCGCTTGGAAGGAGGAAAGTCGATAGCACCTCTGCGCCTCGCTCGATGCAGAGGCCGCTCGTTGACTTTTGTGGCTCGCGTCCCAAATTCGGTGCTTTCCCACATGTACCGGATTTCGCCTTCTAAATTCTGGGGGTTATCATTTATTAGATCATTTTTCATCATCCCCTTGGAGGAACAATATTCTTCCAATTTATGAGACAACTCAGATATATTCGATCTGAATATTATCAGTATTAACACTAATATCTTTTTCTTAGGACTTGGACCCTGCTACTTGGCAGCGGTAGCTCCGGATGAGCTCAAAAGCAAGTTTGTTCTCACTTTGAGACCTCTTGAACGAGTGGACCAGTGGTGATTAACAGACCTCTGGAGTGACATTGACTTTTCGGATCTCGTGGAACATTGAGAACCCTCGATGGATGACTACTGGAAACAAACTGCAGTTCGAGCAATTTCGTTCTCGAGCTATGTATGCATTTTAGCTTGCTCCATAGAAGAGTCGTTAGCGAAGCTCTTACATTGCAATCGGTGTGTACGCGAAAACCGATCTTCGAAGATAAAGTGATTCAGGAACGAAGAACCTCTATTACTTCCTGTCTCTCATTGAACTTTCTGAGACAACACTAAGTTGACTCTGGTTTTTATGCTTATACTGGCCAAGGGGGCTAACTTGTAAAACCTGAATGAAAGTCGGGTGAATATGTACTGTCTGATCTCATTCGCTGGCAAACGATTGTGCCGATTTACATTGAAAAATAAAGCCGTCAAGAACTTTCTAAAAATAAGCAATAAAACTGTAGACCATGAAAACTGAAGCTGAAATCTTTTCAGATTTCATGATGTCCACTGATTTTTTCTCCGTCTTCAAAACATCTTCCGACATCTTGAAGTATAACAATGTAGAGGCTTCGGGTGTGAACAGGCGCCATCTGAAAGAATACAGAATACGCCTGTCAACATGAATCATCCTCATGGCGAACTACAATGACTTGTAACAAGTTCGGGCCAAGTGAGAAAAGACAATCTCGAATGAGATCCATCAAGTAATCCATCATGCTGTCTGTCTTCGAATCGCCACTTACAACGAGAGATGCGCATGTGTTTTATCTTAATGAATGGATGATAGCAGAATCTTCAAATTGCAGAAGTAAGAAATCACGGACGTGAAGAGCTCAACTTGTGACTTGTCACTTTCAGCTATCGATCGGGCATACATGCTAATTTAAGAGGCTAAGCACGGCCTTTAAAATCAGCATCCTTGTCCTAACAAGTTCGGGACAGGATACCTGTGCGTAGATAAGCTCAGAGCGAATAAGCAGGTTCGTTGGTCAGGGATATTTGCTGATCCCTCCTACATTCTCGGATAGTGCACGCTTATGAAAGCACCCGGGGCCACTTCAACTTCTTCAGAGCCCAAATGTCTCAAGTCTTCATCGGCGATCCGGATACAGTAGAAACTTGATATGTACATGCTTCCAGGCGAAACTGGCAACTCGATAATCCCTGAGTTCCGCAACGCTTTGGTTTCTTCTGTGACTAAACTGGAATTCCACTGAATTGCATACTGCAACCAGATCAGCTAAAAATATAAATCTTCTGTTAGTGCTCAGAATAAGGTTGGATTGAGATTGAGGCTACTGTAAGAATGTACCGGCATATCTTGAGAGGATGGTAAGGATTTGGAGCTCATAGTAATCCATCTGCATATATTGAACTTGATCATCTTGAGAATCTAATGAAGAGCTTCTGAATTGCTTCAAGGTTTACGTAGCTCGGTCTTAGTGGAACCTGCACTGTTTCCATGGAGCCCTTTGCGTACTCAGGATCTTAAAACGGCGTGCTCTGCAGAAGGTCTGATAGTCTCTCACCTTTTAAGATCGCTCAGCGATGGGCCCCGCTCTCGACAGCTGCGATTTTTTGCACCTGCATCGTGTTGATCACTGCAACTCCAAGATCAGCTACAAAAATTATTGTACAGATTATGTTCATTCACCGTTCTCCACACCTGCATCGAATCTATAGGTTTCTGAATGGGGGAACTAGCACTGGTTCCTGGAAGATCGAGTACGATAAACGTGACATGCTTGCATATCTCACTGTAAAGCATTTGCTATTATAACCTTCCGTAGTAATAAGTTCTTGAGGTAGGGATGCCCGTGCTAATAATTAAGGGAATGGAATTTCAACCAATCAATTTATACCTGTCGTCACTGTCTCGATTTTCGAGCTGCCTAGACTCAAACTTCGAGTTTCCTCAGACTGGCTCACAAGTTAGGACAGAGCACCAGGAGGAGGGCTTCTAATCCGAAGGAGTTCATGAGTCGATATCTTGGAAGAACCTAACACTGTGACTCACCGGAGTCGTGCATATGAAGCAGATGGACCCCAGGAGGGTCATGGGTACCATACTTCCAACCATCACTATTTAAGCTGCTGAATCAAGCTTTGCGTTGGACACGAAAGAATGTCATACTGCTCAATCAAGAACTGTCTGTGGGAATTTCATCATTGAGATCGCATAATTGATTTCGGAACAACGAGGAGTGCTTTCATTTGAAACCCCTCGAAAGAGAGGTAATCTGAGGATCAAATGCTGTCCACTTTACTCTTAGAGTATCCAATTGCATCTAGCCTTCATCGGTTGAGAAGACCCAGACCACCACAGCAGTCAACTACCTCGAGAGCAGATTCGTGACCACGGCTGACAAACATAGCTCTGATCATAAACGCAGCTGGCTCCGGTCGGATATTTTATATAAAAACTGAGCTACGACGTGTCATTCCATCTCACATCATGTCAAAATGATGCGACTCAAATCAAAGAAAAGTTTGGACGAAAGATGTGCTGTCTACCGCATGCGGTATAGTATTCTTTTGACGCTGTGATTTACATGAAAGATGCCAATTGATAGACACCTCCTCAATGGCCCATTATAACTCTTGACCAATTTATTGATCTCTCAATGTACCATTGACAAGGATCTGTATGACAAGGACCAGAATGGCCGGACCAGAATCCACTTTACCTAAGTTGCATATTCTAGCACGACATAATTGTGGTTTCCGTCTGCCTTCGGGATTCAGGTCCTTAAGACCATCGTCCAGGGAAACTGGCTTGCTGATACGCTTCCATTCGCCTGTGCAAGACGTGTTTGCAATTCTGCTCTCCCGAGATAGATTCACTCGACGACTGTAGTAGGCAAAGTTCATGCTTCTCTCTAAAATAGTAGGCAGGGACAAGAAGAGCATGCAATCCGTGTGACTGAGGCCCAAATCCAAGGACATGAAACGAATCTGTCTGGTGTCATCGAATTCATTCACAGGCCACGACCTTGACTTTGGCCTGAGGAGCGAGATGCATCATGAAGCAAAGCCAGAGATTATATGCAAGACGCAAAACGCTGAACAAACGTATACCCGATTCGTGTGGATTGAAGAACAAATAGAAGAAAGTACTAGCTAACAGAGCTTCCCGCCTTGTCGGGTCTTACTGATTTGGACACTAAACTTTTATTTCTAAGAGGAACCCGTCAGAACTTCAGACTGTAAGAACATAGACTGCCAGCTAGTTATCCATGCCAGGCTAGCACTTGGTATAAATGGCCATTACTAAGTCCAAAGTGTTGATTATTGGTGCCACGGGTTACATTGGGAAGAATGTGTGCAAGGCCAGTGTAAAACAAGGGCATCCGACTTTCATACTCGTTCGATCTCTCATCTCTGCCGATCCTGCCAAGGCCGAGCTGATAAAGTCATTTCAGGAGTCTGGAGTCACTGCTCTCAAGGTACTGTATATCCCTGCTGCCGAATGTTATTGACAAAGTTCTTACCTGAGTTGGAATGTAGGTCAAAGCGCTTCAAATTTAGCCTCTAGACCCACAGAGCTACAAATTCTTTCGTATCCTTCAGAACGTACTTACGCTGAAAAGAGATCGAATGTCAGCGTTTTGTGCGCCATCGATTGGTACTTACGTTTGCAGTCGGTGTTTCGTATACTTCATCCAGCATCTGTGAGGTTGTTATGTCATGAACTGGACGCAAAACAGAGTAGTGAAATATTTCCAGTTAAATCCCAAATATGTCTTCAAGACGGAAATCTGATACTTGCTTACATTCTCCCCAACATCGAGTAAATTGTTAACATGTGCCACCGTTCATTCTCCCTGTTACTCATTGATTGAACCCAGTGAGTGTGGTTCACGATAAAGAAGCACCTGAATCACGGCTTCATTGAACTCTTCAAACCTTCAAACTCGACAGTTCTGATGATCAGTGTACAGCTCCTACGCTGGTCAAACCGCTGGCTGGGAGGTCTTGACCGAACTGTCTTCTGCATCCAAATGGAATGTTCAATTCTCGGTCATTATATCGTTCATCGCAAACATGACAGTGAGACCGGTGTCGAGTGTCACAATGCTTTCTGTGCCACAAAGTCTGAACAATTGCTTCCAGGTTCAACCAAACAAACATAAATTGTCTCTAAATATCTGAATGTAAAACATTTCCCTTCGTCCCTAGACGGAATAGGAAATTCAGAGAAAATTCTGCTGCAATTGACACAATGGCGACCATAGATTACTGTCTCAGACACGATGCTTTCTCGTCGTGTTTAAGACCTCGTTCGTGCTTCCTTCCTTGAAACCCATTTTATAGATGATACATCACGCAGAGTTGCAATGGAGTTGAGATCAGTTCGCAGTATTTTACCTCAACTCTTGCAATGGACGTGTAAGCGGTGTAGTGGTTTTCAGTGGAGATAAATGCGAACCTTAACCACCTAATTTTCAAGGTTGTCTATAATGTATGACAATCAGTGAGACTTAAACGATCACGAGAGTCTGGTGTCCGCATTCCGTCAAGTGGATGTGGTGAACTCGACGGTGGGTGGAGCAAGCTTGGTCGATCAGATCAAGATCCTCCAGGCCGCCACGGAAGCCGGAACAATCAAGGTGAGTTGCCAGGCCTCGTATATTTCTGTCTGCCCAGCTGTCTATTCTGTGGAATAGACAGCTGAGGTTCAAGCTGCCTGAAGTGGTTGCGGAAGCCAATCCAAGACCTTTTTGCTGTATTGTATGTGGCTTCTTCAAGGAGAATCCTCTACCCGTCCTCTTCAGATCAAATAGATGAACGAGGAAAATCATCTCGAGCGTTCACTGACCATCGTTGCTGCCATCGGTCCTGAACGCTATGATTATAATTTTGCGAACTTATCCGGGAATCTCACGTGGGAATTAAAGAGTGCTGGATGGATATTTACCGCTTGCAGAGGTTCTTGCCATCAGAATTCGGCATCGAGGTCGACAGGTTGGAGCTGGAGTTTAGAATGACGGATGGTCTGTTCGGAGACAAACGAAAGGTCAGGCGAGCAATCGAGAAGTTTGGGATACCGTACACGTACGTGGCTTGGTGCCTTCGCAGACTGGTTCCTGGCAGCTTTACGTCAAGAGAATACAGTAGTCTCCCGGTAAAGTACGCACTTTGAACCCGGGAGTGCTGTGCGTACTTAACCGGAAGGTGCGTATTTAAGAATATTGACTTCCTAATCGTTTGATTTGAGTGTAATGTCAAAGGAACTTTATATGAACACTTCTAAATGACTCCGCGCTATTTGATATCATAGAGAAATTGAGCTAAATCATGATTCCATTGGAAGAGCTCGAACTTGCAAGTGACTTGATCATGAAGATGACACAAACGGAGCAAATCACAAAGCTAAATTGAGATAATGTATGATGAAGTTAAAGAGAAAACATTGTAATCTCACTTTTCTAACATCTATTGACACCGTCAAATAAAAAAATATTGCATTGAGTTTATTGATTTCATATATGGACTCCAACACATATTTCTAATTGCCAAGTCGTATTCAATTGCCAAGTGAGTTGTAAAAGGTGTTGCTTCTTGGAGAGTGATTTGAAATATTATCATTGACTCTAGCAACGTTAACTGTTATAGTCCAATATAATCTAAAACCTCAAAAAGATACTTCATTTTGCAATAGTGGTTTGCTTTTTTCTCTACTATGAGAATTTGACTCTAATGTTAAACGAGTATATATCAGCCACTAGAGGTTCACGCTTCTAATCAGGTATGAGACAACCACTAGGAGGAGTTACAATTTTTGACCATAAACCAAATGAACGACATGTCATGGGTTGAACCCTATTTTTGTACCAAAAAAATGCGTACTTAACCGGGAGACTACTGTACCAGGTCACCATCGCGAAACACTCGAGGTAAGTAGTATCAACGTGATTTCCTTACGCCATCGGAGGGAGCCATCCAATCATGAATGAAAATTCTATGGACTCATTCCATATATCATTTGCATTATGGTAGCTATCGTGAACGACGAGGACAACATTGGAACCTTCACCATAAAAGCCATTGATGATCATCGCACCCAGAACAGGATCCTCCACATCCGACCCAAGGAGAACATCACCATCAGCATTTTTCAAGTTGTATCAAATGAAATATGAGGTGAGACTAGGTGGGCATGCATGGGTGTGCGAGGAGTGCATGAATAAAGGTCGTAGTTCTGGCATTTTGACATATTAGAAATTTGAAGAGGTTTGGATGTCATGATGCAAGTGACAAGCATATGTTTAAAACTTTATGCAACATGAAACACTGCAAAATTTTCCTTACAGTTTTCACCCGTAGCAGTCTATAATAATCTTTCTAATCATGTCATTAGCGCAGTCATGTTTCTGATGAAGCTCAATGTTTGGTTAAGGTTGAAACCCTAAACCCACCATAATGAAATCCCTTCACTTTAGACAACAATTTTTACTCCAATAATTTGCTTCTCGGAGAATCATGCTTTGGGACATTAGTGGTGACCTTGTCAGTTCGCACTTCAAACTGACGCTCAACAGCATATTTTGGGATAATATGTGCATCAGAGCGTACCAGGAGATATCGAAATTATCCATGGCTTAATTTTTTTCTCTCATCATTCGATCATCGCGAGCAAAAACCTCTCCTATATTGATATAGTAGCTTACGAGCCGCTCGACCTTGCGCGTACTAGCGTAAGTCGTTTGCGGAAGTAAAACAAGTGGATTTATTCAACAAGAAAATGTCTCGAAGTAGGTCCATCTTGATCTTGTTCCAGCTTCTTCGAATCAAACCTGTCTGCACTTCCATGGCAAATAACAATATCAGCGTTTGTAACTAAATGATTATCAATATTCATATATCTATGAGGAAGTATTACGAACATACTTTGATTTGATGTGAGTTTCTTCGATCTGAGATCGGATGACGAACTTGAACACATCGGGCTTCTGCAGCTGGTTGTAAGAATAACTACAGCAACGCACACTTCCTAAGATGATACCGTGCTGTCAGATTTACAAACTTTCTTGGAAATATTGACAAACAGGGCAATCGGATAACATGTATACTGCCAATTCTTTCAATACCACCATCGGAAATCAAACAGGAATGTGATGCTGGAAAATGCATACTTCCAGTGCTTCTTAAAAGGTGTTTATGAAATCATAACTTTGCATCATAACGTCTCTCGCACATGTGATCTGACATGCGATCTCAGCTCCTGATATTGCTATCCAAGTGCCGAGTCTCTGTAGTTTCATTTCTAAGATAGATGTAAAAATATAAAAGCTCCGAAATGCAGGGGCGTAGCGGAGCCTACAGTTGGACTCCGTGTGGACGTTCAACAACAGAGATTCTTCCAGCAAATTGACTTTGATCGTGGATTTCTTCCGTAAATTCTGCGAGTCAATTCAGAAAAGATTGATCTTCAGGCTGCAGTAGTAGAATTCCATCAACTTTACACGTGCGAACGTTGAAATCAGATGCCGGAAAGTAATTCATAGGATACATTAATGGACATTTTGCTCGCCGATACTCGGAATTTATTTGGAATCGACGTGCACGACAACGTGATCTGGATCTGCAGATCTGGCCAACAGACCTGTTGATGATAATCATACACTGCCAATTTTTTCAATTCCACCAACGGACATAAAACAGGAATGTGATGCTGGAAAATGGATACTTTCCGTGCTGCTTGAAAGGTGCTTATAAAATCATAACTTTGCATCACGTGTCTCGCACATGTGATTTGACATGCTAATTCAGCGCTTGATTATGCTCTCCAAGTGCCGAGTCTCTGTAGTTTCAACTCTAGGATAAATATTAACTCATACAAGCTCCGAAGTGCAGGGGCGAAGTGGAACGTAATGCTGGACTACGTCTGGACGTTCAGCAACAGAGATTCTTCCAGCAAATTGACTTGCAGCGTGGTTGTCTGCCGGATTGATAACACTGCAGAAGTACAAATACATCAATTCGTACATGCGCGAACGCTGAAATCAGGTGCAGGAAAGTCTTTCATAGTATACATTAATAGACATTTTGCTCGTTGATACTCGGATATTCTTGGGAATGGGCGTATATGCCAACGTGGTGCAGATCTGCAGATCTGGCCAACAGACCTGTTTCTGATGGCGAGATTGATGATGCGGTGAGCTTTAAAGTGGTGAATACTCTGTCATCTTAGCACCATGAAGTTAGCATGCTTTCTCTGTAGTCACGTTCAATTCTTTCGCCTTTGCGAACTCAACAAAATCATTCAGTCCCCCATGTCAAACGCGAAAATGTGGTGAAGATTGGATAAAGGTTTGTAGTTTCCACCATAGCACTTCGAGGAAACCTTCTAGATGGATTGCTCACTTCTGTACATTGGAGGAAGTCACCCATCACCACCAGCATTTACTCTTCTAACTGCAACTGTTAATCGACACTGATCTTGAAACCTTTTTCGACAGTGAGAAATTGGATCATGGGAAGTATCCACGTCTAAAGACAGGGACGGGAAGATGTGCTATCCTGGAAAACATTCCCAAAAGACGATCCGACAGGCACTGCAGATAAAAAGTGAAGTATATGTCGTGCTGGCAATTGCACCGGGCAGTCAAATTGGAAGAAACAGAATTTACTCACTCCCGGTTGTCTTTGGAAAAAATTCATAGTCTATTGTGTGATACAGTAAGATATGATAAGATTCCAAACTTTCTGCTCAATGTCCATTTGCACATTTCCTCGGATCCTCAGAAATTCTACGGAATCGGCGTGCCTGGCAACGTTGTGCAGAATGCGAAATGTTCATTTTCGTTTCAGTTTTAGGCGAGGGAAAATCTCAACGTCCAAATTCAGACCAAAAGAACTTGAAAAATTCAGACAAGCAGAAAGAAAGCCATCGTCCTGTAATTGAGCCTTACAGACAATTTGGCTACTCCTCTAAAGGGTTAGTACAGGAACTAAACATCAAACATGGTCCGGAAGAGCCTGGAAATTGCGGTTCATGTACCATGGGAAACTGTGGTGATAATCTCCACCTGGTTCATGAATTTGAGACTTGGGATTGTCAAGGTGCTCCGACTTGCGCAGGTGGTGCACCGTCCACCACATTTGCCTATGAGTCACCGCAACTTTGAATACTACTGCATGAAGCGAAATGAGCGCTGGACTCTGAATCGTTCCTGGATTCCCTTTCCTCGCTGTAGTCTGACTCGTTACTGGATTCCCTTTACGTTGTAGTCTGACTCGTTCCTGGATTCCCTTTCCTCGCTGCGCTTCCCGGAGACCCATGCGGTGCAAGCTGGAACGGGTATTTGTTCATGGAATAGAGTTACTGGAATCTCGAGGGTGCTGTATGGAAAACCGCTTTCTCAATGTAAGAACAAGACAATTTGTTATAGTTTGCTACTGTATACTCTAATCTCTACACTACCCCGTTAGAGAATGAGAAAACTGTTTGCGTTTTTATACTAAACTAGCGAAGGTACGCGTCGAGGTCTAAGTAAGTTAAAACTGACGATATTAATTAAAATTTATCGATTCATTCGTCTTCATTTTGGGATTTGACAATAAATAGAGGTCATATTTCCCTATTACTCGATACTAATTCATTTTATCACGTGTAATTTTCATAGACTTAGGAGAGTGATTTCTGTATAAAGACAAATAATGTATATCGAAATTTTACTTGTGCCAAAGGCAACGTGACATAATCTTATTTGTGTCACGATTTTTTTATGAATGAATTTTATAATTTATGTATGAAACTAAATATAATTTTGGGTAATTTTAAAATTTTGTTAGGAAATCCCATAAATTAAGAGACCTGAGTTACTTACATTCCACTTACAAGAAAGAAAAAAAAAAAACCTGACACATGTGTGATACGGAAGTAACAGAAATCGGCGCGTTGACTTTATGTGCGATGAAACGTTTAGACACGCAGATAAAAAACTAAAATGAACTTCAAGGTTGAAGTGACAAAGACATCATTCTATCTAACTCAGCGGTGTCATAGCGCTGTGCAATCATACGCACGTGGTGAACAGTAATATTCCTTACACCCGATTACTAGATCCGTGGAAATCGGGCATGAAAAGCAGTCGGATTCGATTGTCCTTTTCCCGGACCCAGCCGCTATATAATAATCAAAGGTATTCCAACGGACCACCTGCTTACTAGATCCGTGGAAATCGGGCCTGGAAAGCAATCGGATTCGATTGTCCTTTTCCCGGACCCCAGCCGCTCCATAATAATCAACCGTACTCAAGCGGACCACTTGCTTACTAGATCCAGCTGAGTTGAAATATTCAACTCAGCTGAAGTAGGGTGGAGTCAAAACAACTTTTTCAAGTCATGCACATGGTGTCTTTTGAGGTCAGATTGCATGAATAATACATACATGCTTAAATGGGTGTTGACATAATGCTCTCGAGTTTCAATTTTTCACATGGGCATGACTCAAAATGAACGAATGAGCAGTAGTCATTCCCCCGGCCTTGGCCGGGGGCATGCCTTTGAGGGTTGTAATGTTTGTAATGTTGTAGTCAGAACCTTTGAGGTTGTGCTACAACACAAGAGAGAAGGGTGTGGCATGATTCTTATGGGCTCTGCCGTGGAGGCATTGTACTTTTAGATTGAGGTTCCATAAAAAGATCTAGAGTGTTCAAGCCATGTTCACTCACTCAGTGGAGTGAGCTGTCTTAAGTCCATACATGCCGGAAGTGAAATATTATACATTGTGCTTTGTGCGTTGTACTTGTCAGCTAAGGTCCCACAAAAAGCTTCAAAATTTGAGAGCCCAACATCTTCACTTTCTCTGGTGAGGTGAACTGAGAATTAATATACTGAACAATTTCCGGTTGCATCAATACAAATTCTAAGACATGTAATAATTTGTGAAGCTTTCAGTATCAAGGAATAGTGTTTTGCATTTGATAGGAAAACATATTCTAAAAGTCAATGTACCAATGTGCTGGTGTCATTAGAGTGAGTTTAAGACAATACCACGTGTATTGTTCAGAGAATCAAGATATATCCCTAGTAAACCATCCAATGAAAATTTCAACCGACCTTGTAAATACAAAAATTGTGAATCAATCGCAACATTTGGCAAATGTTCTTATCACATTTTTCTACAAGTACATTA